GAACATAGAGCGTCCAGTGAGAGACGTTTTGCGCTTTTTGGCCGCTCAAAACGCGTTTGGTGTGAACGTGGCTTAAGAGTGTGACCCCCCTGTAATTGGAGCACACCCTCCGGTCCCCCTTTTTAAACAGGGGGACCACCACCCCAGTCTGCCAATCCAGGGGGACTGTTCAGATGTTGAATAAACCAGAACATTTACTGGCACATTAAACTTAAGATTCTGGCAAGGCTAGTAGATTAAAGAAAAGGAGGAAAATGAGATTAGTATCTACTTTTACTTTTACCAAGTGCAGGTTAAGGGTTTCTGATGTGAATGAACTCTCAGATGTTTCTTCAAACTCAGGTCATTTCTGAAGGTTTTTCCACAGACGTCACATTTTACAGAAGTCCTGTCAGATTCAGACGGACTCTCTGAACCAGGACCGGTCTGAGACTGGAGCCGGTCAGTGTTCAGTTCTGGGTCCATTTCCTCACAAGACTCCATGAAGGTTCCAGTGTTCTGCTTCAGAACCAGCTGCTGACTGATGCCGAGGTCCTCCTGCTCCTCTTTCATCTGAGGAGGTTCTGGTTCCTCCTGCTCCTCTTTCATCTGAGGAGGTTCTGGTTCCTCCTCTTTCATCTGAGAAGGTTCTGGTTCCTCCTGGTCCTCTTTAACCTGAAGAGGTTCTGGTTCTTCTTTAATCTGAGAAGATTCTGGTTCTTCTTTAATCTGAGGAGGTTCTGGTTCCTCCTCTTTAATCTGAGGAGGTTCTGGTTCCTCCTCTTTAATCTGAGGAGGTTCTGGTTCCTCCTCTTTAATCTGAGGAGGTTCTGGTTCCTCCTCTTGTTGCTGTTGGAGGTCTGGAGAACAAAGAACAGAAAAATCAGATCAGTTAAAGCAAAGAGTTTCAGTCTGAAATCACTCCATGTTGCTCTCATTATTTAGAGATTATTTTATTATTTTTATTTTCTTATTTATTGTATAAAGTTGCAGACTGAGCTGCTGTGACTCCTGACTGGATTAACAGGAATTAAATTTTATTTTATTTTATTTACACCGTCTGATGTGACCCTGAAACTTTCCTTTTGTGTTGTCTTATTATTTGTTGTATGTTTAGCATTTGTTTTGTTTTTAAATGCAATGAATAAATTTTTTAAATAAATTATAAAATAATAATAATAAATGTATTGAAATCCTTCTGCTTCATCTGATCCAAAGGTTTATG